ATCTATCTATCTATCTCTATCTATCTATCTCTATCTATCTATCTATCTATCTATCTCTATCTATCTATCTCTATCTATCTATCTATCTATCTATCTCTATCTATCTATCTCTATCTATCTATCTATCTATCTCTATCTATCTATCTATCTCTATCTATCTAACTATCTATCTATCTATCTATCTCTATCTCTATCTATATCTATCTCTATCTATCTATCTCTATCTATCTATCTCTATCTATCTCTATCTATCTATCTCTATCTATCTATCTATCTATCTATCTATCTATCTATCTATCTCTACCTACCTATCTCTATCCTATCTCTCAATCTATCAATCCATCGATCTATCAATCTATATCTATCTATCTGTCATCTACCTATATCTATCTCTCATCTGTATCTATATCTATCTATCTAATTTGGTCATTAAAAGTTTTACAAAGAATATGGAATGTAACAAAAATTAATGGATGAATTGATGGAAGGAAAGAAGGGAGGAAGGAGGGAGGGGGAGAGAGAGAAGGAGGGGAGCAAGGAAGGAAGGAAAGCAAAACAATAAGAGAAAGGAAAGAAAGAAAAAGAAAGAAAGAAAAGGCGAGGGAGGGAGGAAGAAATGAGCAAAAGTGTAAAAAGAAAAATAAGTAGAATAAATAGCTTCCAATTTCCTTAGTAGCAAATTATCGTACAATTACAAAATTATCTCATACTCTTATGATTACAAAAAAAAATTCCATTTTGTCTACGATTCACTTGTTTCTAATCCTCCAAACCACAAATTGTAAGAGGATTTTTCCCTATTTCATGCCCCCAAAAAGTCTATAAAGGGGTTTCTAGTCAACCATTAAGGTAGTTACTGTTTTTCCTCTGAACAAATAAGTTCATTTAGCCTCTCCCTAAGTTCCATTAACTTTGCTAAGTGTATCTCTGAAAAATCTCCGAATTAAAGTATGTACTTATATCCAAAATGTTCTGGACTTTTTTTGTCTACAAGACATGTAACAAACATGTCTTTTGTACCAAACATAATAAGATGCCCCTATTTATTGTAAGATTCAAAGCGGCTTTACACAGGTAGTGTAACAGTTCACTTAGTGACCTGAACTTAGTTCAAAGTTACAACGCTATTGGAAAAAGTGATTTACGACCATTTTTCACACCTACAATCATTGCAGCATCCCCGTGGTCATGTGATCAAAATTCAGGCACTTGGCTATTGACTTATACTTACGACGGCTGTCATGTCCCGAAGTCACGTGATCCCCTTTTGCAACCTTCCGACGAGCAAAATCAATGGGAAAGCCAGATTCACTCAACAACCGAGTTAATAATAGCAATAGCAATAGCAGTTAGACTTATATACCGTTTCATAGGGCTTTCAGCCCTTTCTAAGCGGTTTACAGAGTCAGCATATTGCCCCCAACAACAATCCGGGTTCTCATTTTACCCACCTCGGAAGGA